CTGTATGTCAGTGTAATAAGATGATTGGCTCTAATTAGATTACAGTGTATTGATTTATGTAGAGCTTTTCATGTTGTCTCAGTTAGGCTAACAAAATCAATGTTAATTAGATTAAAATACAATTGTTTATTTATTCAACGATCAAATTATACAGTGCCTTCGGAAAGTATTCAGACTCCTTGACTTTTTCCACATTTTGTTACGTTACAGCCTTATTCTAAAATAGATTAAATAAAACATTTTCCTTAGCAATCTACACACAATACCCCATAATGACAAAGCGAAAACAGGTTTTTAGATTATTTTGTAAATGTCTACTAAATTTAAAACAGAAATACCTTATTTACATAAGTATTCAGACCCTTTGCTATGAGACTCGAAATTGAGCTCAGGTGCATCCTGTTTCCATTGATAATCCTTGAGATGTTTCTACAACTTGATTGGAGTCCACCTGTGGTAAATTCAATTGATTGGACATGATTTGGAAAGGCACACACCTGTCTATATAAGGTCCCACAGTTGACAGTGCATGTCAGAGCAAAAACCAAGCCATGAGGTTGAAGGAATTGTCCGTAGAGCTCCGAGACAGGATTGTGTCGAGGCACAGATCTGGGGAAGGGTACCAAAAAATGTCTGCAGCATTGAAGGTCCCCAAGAACACAGTGGCCTCCATCATTCTTAAATGGAAGAAGTTTGGAACCACCAAGACTCTTCCTAGAGCTGGCCGCCCGGCCAAACTGAGCAATCGGGGGGGAAGGGCCTTGGTCAGGGAGATGACCAAGAACCCGATGGTCACTCTGACAGAGCTCCAGAGTTCCTTTGTGGAGATGGGAGAATCTTCCAGAAGGACAACCATCTCTGCAGCACTCCACCAATCAGGCCTTTATGGTAGAGTGGCCAGATGGAAGCCACTCCTCAGTAAAAGGCACATGACAGCCCGCTTGGAGTTTGCCAAAAGGCAGACCATGAGAAAAAAGATGCTCTGGTTTGATCAAACCAAGATTGAACTCTTTGGCCTGAATGCCAAGAGTCATGTATGGAGGAAACCTGGCACCATCCCTACGGTGAAGCATGGTGGTGGCAGCATCATGCTGTGGGGATGTTTTTCAGCGGCAGGGACTGGGAGACTAGTCAGGATCGAGGCAAACAGCAAAGTACAGAGAGATCCTTGATGAAATCCTGCTCCAGTGCGCTCAGGACCTCAGACTGGGGCGAAGGTTCACCTTTCAACAGGACAACGACACTAAGCACACAGCCAAGACAACGCAGGAGTGGCTTCGGGACAAGTCTCTGAATGACCTTGAGTGGCCCAGCCAGAGCCTGGACTTGAACCCGATCGAACATCTCTGGAGTAAATAGCAGAGCAGCAATGCTCCCCATCCAACCTGACAGAGCTTGAGAGGATCTGCAGAGAAGAATAGGAGAAACTCCCCAAATACAGGTGTGCCAAGCTTGTAGCATCATACCCAAGAAGACTCTAGGCTGTAATCACTGCCAAAGGTGCTTCAACAAAGTACTGAGTAAAGGGTCTGAATACTTATGTAAATGTTATATTTCAGTTTTAAATTTTTTTTAATAAATTAGCAAACATTTCTAAAAACCTGTTTTTGCTTTGTCATTATGGGGTATTGTGTGTAGATTGATGAGGGGAAAAAAACAATTTAATAAATATTAAAATAAGGCTGTAACGTAACAAAATTTGGAAAACGTCAAGGGGTTTGAATACTTTCCGAAGGCACTGTATATAATATCTAAGACAGCCCACAAAGGGGACTCACTTGCTAGCCAGGTGCACCTTGGGAGTGATGCCATATTCCCCGAAGAGAGTGATAAACACATTGGCATCGGTGCCTGCCCCCCTCTCATCTCCAGTGATGGTCACCACCTCATACACTGCAGGGGTGTATGACATGGCAAAGAGAGAGTTAGAGGCACAGACAGACAGACAGACAGGCAGGCAGGCAGGCAGGCAGGCAGGCAGGCAGGCAGGCAGGCAGGCAGGCAGGCAGACAGACAGACAGACAGACAGACAGACAGACAGACAGACAGACAGACAGACAGACAGACAGACAGAGATATAGTGTGTGTGTGTGCAAGCTTGAGTGAGTGACTAAAACAGTACTGTAGAGTGAAAAATAAAGTAAGTCTACAACTAGTTGTAAGTATTCTAGGTAGACACCCAAAAAATTAATAGCATTGTGGGGTCCTTTTCATTAAGTTAAACAAGCCATTGTTATTGATAGGTATCATGTTACATTTGAGATACAGACATAGGCCTACCTCATACCTGTGAATACTTTAAGTGTTGTATTACCCAGACAATTAAGGTCAACAATGAAGCTATTACACCAGGAACCAGCAAAGATACAGCCATTGTATTAATCAAATGAAGTCAACCTATAAAGGGGGAGCTCATGCATTGAGAAATAGTTAAGCACTCAAATGTTTTCTGTGTGGTAGACCTATAACATTTCTGGCAATCACGCTTGAAGCTAGCCAGCCAATAATACTATGAGGTCTGTATTTTGTATGTTCTTCCATTGATTGTTTCTGTCCATTTATTACCGTTAAGTTTGATGCTGTGACCTGCTTCTGTCATATTATCTGTGTGTCACATTCTAGTTATACAATGTACAATATAATGTGTCATACCTTTCTTCTTGTGGTACTCATCCTCATAGTTCTCCATGGTATCTGGCTCATAGTTCCGTAGTTCATTCTCATAGATCTCCACGTAGTTCTCAACCAGTTTCTTCTTTTTGCCTTTGCCCTTTTTGGTGTCCTCATCACTGTCCCCCCCTGAGCCTTTCTTGACCTTTTTCTTCTTCTTTTTGCTATCCCCTTCTTCATCCCCCTGTTCGCGAGGTTGTTCCCCCTCTTTCTTGTCCTTTTTGGATTTTTTGTCGTCGTCTTTAGATTTTTTGTCCTTTGACCCCATGTCGTTCTCCTGGTGGTCTTTCTTCTTCTTGGTTCCCTTTCTGGTGGCCTCAATCACATCAGTGAGCCTCTCTGCTCTCTTTTTCTTGTTATTGATGGTATCACTGTGATCTTCATCATCTGTACTTTTAGACTCACTGCTTCTCACCTCATACTCCTCATCGCTGTCCTCCTTAGCTTTCTTCTTATTTTTCTTTAATTTTCCTTTGTTCTCCCCCTTTTTCTTGCTGCTCCTTACATCAGGCTCAGAGGTGTCAGAGTGGTACCCTTCTTCTGGAGCTTTTGATTTCTTCTTCTTCCCCCTGCCAGCTCCAGCATCCTCTGTGCCAGTGATCCTCTTACTTTTCGTCTTGGGCTCTGGCTCCTGATCCTCTGAGCTCTCGTCATCCACCTCTTCGGTTCCACCACTGCCCTTGGTGTTGTTTTTTTTTCTTTTTCGGGGACATCTTTAATTTATTTACTACCTTGTAACTGTAACTGATTCCAGTGTGTACCGGTGAAACACGATTCAACTGACCTGTAGTGCCACCGTAGTGACCAGCCGGTGCCGGCAGGATGGGGCCAAAGCCATACAGACTCCTGGGTAGAGCAGACTGCAGGGTGGCTTGAGGAGGCTGGCGCAGCCCTCTCCTGCTGTAGTTCCCCACCTGAAACCGCAAAAGCCACTGAGCTCATATAAAATTACTACCACTGCTGGGTTGTCACCTGATCAGACGAGAAAGCCCCTGGAAAAATCGAGAACATGCCAGAAAATTATAACCCACATTAGAAGCTGATGAGGGTTTTACAATTTAAAGAGGAGATCTGCAGTTCAAACAATAACAAAGCAGAGAACCTGACACTGTTTTGGTAAACCGCTGAGGGGTGGAGCTGGAGAAATGTATATAAAGTGTTTACAATTACTTTGTTTACAAACAATGGATTGAAACATGTTTATATTGTGTGTTGTGATGGGGTACGACAGTTGAACTAGAGGCATTTACGTCATATTCTTTAAGAGTCAATGGATATAATTTATGATGAATCCTTGGTGACTATGTACGATAACTATTTAAAAAATGTACCTCCTAAATCGTTCTATCAACTTCATGTAGTGTTAATAACGGGATATGAGAAGGGAGAGTCGGCGAATGATCGATTCAGACTAGGTGGTAAATTGTATGACAAGCGGCAGTTTATTCAGAGTAAAAATGTCTGGTACAAAACGTGCACGGTCTCGTTCTTTCAGCTCATAGGGAACTTCCAGAAAAAGCGCCAAAAAAACAGTACACTGGTGTTTTATACTATTTGTAAAGTATCGCTGTTGTTTCTGTCTCTCGAGGCTAAATTGGCATCTGGCATGAATGGGTAATAATGTTATATCTAAAAATTTAAATAATTATACTTATAATACCATACATATTGTATTACAGTATTTCCTACTTAAATTGCAACTTACAATATTAATTTAGTGACGTTCCGTGCTAGTGATAGGAACACATTATTGGCTGCGCTTGTGTTGCTACAGCATACCGGTACGGACTGAATTTAGTGCAACACAAAACCCTTTTCCGGTCTCTATCGCGTGAACTTCGGCAAGAAGATGGTAAGCTTGGACGCAGTTTACACAGAAAATCTGAAATCATCTGCTTTAATGCATTTTCTCCCTTGTCATCTACATTATTGTTGTGAAGATGAAAGCAATGAAGTGTCACACACCCCAGTATTTCACGGGTTCCGTTTCATAATCCGTAGCTATCAACCCGATGAATTAACTGTAATGTAACAAGCACTTAACGTTAGTTAGCGAACCCAAACACAAGCTAGCTTCCAAATCATTCTCAAAATGAAAGCAAACTTATTTTTGGCCCCCATAAAATAAACGATTTTAAAGACTGTATTTATTAGCATGTCCTTATTTTCATCCTGTAAAAAAGCGAAAGCCATGTCTAGGTTTCACTGGTTTTCACTAACATGTTAGCCAGCCAACTAACTAACCTAGCTAGTAACGTTATGAAGTTGTTTGGCATTAACTATACTGTCCAATTGTTCATGCGTATCATACATGTTTTTATGTTTCCCAGACGAAGGGAACGTCGTCATTTGGTAAACGTCGCAACAAGACGCACGCCCTGTGTCGTCGGTGCGGCTCCAAGGCATACCACCTCCAGAAGTCCTCATGCGGAAAGTGTGGCTACCCCGAAAAGCGCAAGAGGAAGTGTGAGTGGCTCATACTGTTCTTGCATGTCTGGCAGGTGGTTTAGCTAGTTGTTATTGATCAATAAGTGCATCCAGTGGTGTGACCAATAGGGACTCATCAGCGAGGCTAGATGGATGGATTTATGCTGCAGGTCATCATGCCAGGAGTCTTACCTGAGTTCAACCTGTCAGAAGTTTTCTGTGATGCATAACGTTATGTCAAATAGAAAAGACGTTAGCACACGCAGCAGTGAATTTTTACACTTCCAGATTTGTTTTGGAAAGGTTTGGTCAAGCTGGCCTTGTCACATTTATGTCTGTCTGTTTAAAAGTTTTGCTCTTCATTGATTCTAACACGCTCATCCTTTCACCCTCATCCTTTCACCCGTGCAGATAACTGGAGTGCCAAGGCCAAGCGACGCAACACTACCGGGACTGGCCGTATCAGACACCTGAGGGTCGTCTACCGCAGGTTCAGGTGAGTCAAACATCCTCCCTGCAATGAATTTCAAGGCTGATTTGCAATTGTACATCAGATGCAGTCAGAAGGCAATGTTTCCCACAGAATTCAAAGAAGAGCTGTTCTTTAGGCAGGATTATGTACCTCCATTTCTCCATTGTTTGCTTGCATTTTTGTCTTTGACTGTGAGACTGGATTATACGTTTTGACTGTGCAGAGAAGCTCCTGATTTGCCCCCCTTTTCTGACCTGCAGAGTCACTTGAGACAGTGTCTGTCCTTACAGTAGGCCCTATGTAATGTAACAGGTGTGATATCACTAGCTAAGTTTGCCATGCTGGATTTGGTTGTTCTGCACAGATACATTTCAGTGCCGGGTTGAACCCTCAGTTTTGTTGATGTTGAGATATTAGGGGTTAATTGTTCTTTGATATACCAGGAGGTAGGTGGTGTTAGTTTTATTTGTTTTTGTTTGTTTAGTTAGTGACTGTTAGGTAAACTACTCGTCAAATGTGTTTTCTGCAATATAAACTGTAACTAGGCTGGCATGATTTGACAAGGCCATGGTAGTAAGAGACTTGAATGCTTGTTGACATCACATGAAATTGGAAGGCATATTTCACTGTTCTTTTTTGCATGTTAACTGGCACGAACAGATATTGTTGCTATGTAGGTTGCTAGCGAAAGACCAGTCTCATATCACATACTCTGCTCTAAGATGTGATGTTAGATTAATTTCAGGTAGACTTAAGTAAGTAGCTATCACATTGTTCGTAGTGTTAACCCATACAGAAGTTGAACGTTCCAGAAAAGGGTATTTCTGTTATTTTGATCCGGACGACACTGGAGTTGTACACTGCTTTATAACACATCCTGTAGATTTTTAAGATGCAGAGTAGGCTTATATCAATTGAAAAGAAAGGAAAATACCCAAATACTCTTTTGCCGTGCCATCTTCCAAGTGGATGGTACATGTTGGGGGATGGATGGGGTTACCTTCTTCACAATGTAAAGCATTTGAGAGGCACTATATAAATGTAGTTTACAAATCATTGTCCTCCTTCCTCATTAACACATTTAGTATTTACATTTACGTCATTTAGCAGACGCTCTTCTCTTGTCTTTTCCAGGAATGGATTCCGTGAGGGAACTGTCCCTAAGCCTAAGAGAGCAGCAGTGGCTGCCTCCAGCTCTTCCTAGGCTCTGAGTCTGAAATAAAGTCATCATAAAACGACAACTTCATGGCCTCTCGTCCTCTTCTTTGGTCAGTTTTAAGTTATACAATGAAGATAAAAAAAAACCTTGAAACATTATCTCTAACAAGAACCCTAGCAGCAACCAGTAAGTGTTGGGATCAGTGGAGGCTGCTGAGGGGAGAACGGCTCATAATAATGTCCAGAGCAAATGGAATGGCATCAAACACCTGGAAACCATGTGTTTGATGTATTTGATACCATTCCACTGATTCCGCTCCAGTCATTACCACGAGCCTGTTCTCCCCAATTAAGGTGGCACCAACCTGTGGTTGGGATTCAGTTTTATCACTAAAACTTGTTTGAAGGAAGGTTTTTCCTGCAACCAGCAGAGGGACACATTTCTTCATGGTTGTTTCTAGAGGATCTGAAAAAATAATCTGAAATAACAGGGCTCTATTTTGCTGTGCGACCTGGAATTTTAATTCAGGAGCACTAGTGCGCCTAGAGAAATTAAGGATTCTAGCTTTAATATCTCAATTTAGGTGCACACGTGCTCCTTGTAAAAAAAGGTCAGCGTAGAGCCCTGAATAATCCACTATTTTATCCTCCAAAGTGGATGTGGCAGAAAAGGTTTAGGATTCTTTAGTCACAGTATTGTGATTTGACAAAAGAGACCTGGGGAGGGGGGAAAAGCATGTTTGAATAGATATTTAGCAGTTCTATAAATATATTTCCCACAACTCAAACTACTGGATGAGATGTGAAAATAACATGGGACTCAGTGACTCCATGGATACTAACTGCTATAGTAACCAGTAATTGGTTTCAATACAGCAACTACAAATCACATATGTTTGAATATAGATTCAAAGGGTTTCCCAGGGCTGCTATACAGACAGTGATACTTGTGGAGAGCATCTCAAAGCTACATTGTGTATGGCCTCTTCCATTCGTTGAACATAACGTTTAGAAGTCCATGTAATAGGACATTTATCTAGCTTTCATTTATAATCGATGAAGCGAAACTCAGTGGCTCTTCTCATATCTACAGTTGAAGTCGGAAGTTTACATACACCTTAGCCAAATGCTTTTAAAATCAGTTTTTCACAACTCCTGACATTAAATCAGAGTAAAAATTCCCTGTCTTAGGTCAGTTAGATCACCACTTTATTTTAAGAATGTGAAATGTCAGAATAATAGTAGAGTGATTTATTTCAGCTTTTATTTCTTTCATCACATTCCCAGTGGGTCAGAAGTTTACATACACTCAATTAGTATCGGGTAGCCTTCCACAACCTTCCCACAATAAGTTGGATGAATTTTGGCACATTCCTCCTGACAGAGCTGGTGTAACTGAGTCAGGTTTGTAGGCCTCCTTGCTCGCACACGCTTTTTCAGTTCTGCCCACACATTTTCTATAGGATTGAGGTCAGGGCTTTGTGATGGGCACTCCAATACCCTGACTTTGTTGTCCTTAAGCCATTTAGGCACAACTTTGGAAGTATGCTTGGGGTCATTGTCCATTTGGAAGACCCATTTGCGACCAAGCTTTAACTTCCTGACTGATGTCTTGAGATGTTGCTTCAATATATCCACATAATTTTCCTTCCTCATGATGCCATCTATTTTGTGAAGTGCACCAGTCCCTCCTGCAGCAAAGCACCCCCACAGCATGATGCTGCCACCCCCGTGCTTCACGGTTGGGATGGTGTTATTTGGCTTGCAAGCGTTCCCCTTTTTCCTCCAAACATAACGATGGTCATTATGGCCAAACAGTTCTATTTTTGTTTCATCAGACCAGAGGACATTTCTCCAAAAAGTATGATCTTTGTCCCCATGTGCAGTTGCAAACCGTAGTCTGGCTTTTTTATGGTGGTTTTGGAGCAGTCGCTTCTTCCTTGGTGAGCGGCCTTTCAGGTTATGTCGATATAGGACTCGTTTTACTGTGGATATAGATACTTTTGTACCCGTTTCCTCCAGCATCTTCACAGGGTCCTTTGCTGTTGATCTGGGATTGATTTGCACTTTTCGCAACAAATTACGTTCATCTCTAGGAGACGGAACATGTCTCCTTCCTGAGCAGTATGATGGCTGCGTGGTCCCATGGTGTTTATACTTGCGTACTATTGTTTGTACAGATGAACGTGGTACCTTCAGGCGTTTGGAAATTGCTCCCAAGGATGAACCAGACTTGTGGAGGTCAACAATTTTTTTTCTGAGGTCTTGGCTGATTTCTTTTGATTTTCCCATGATGTCAAGCAAAGAGAAACTGAGTTTGAAGGTAGGCCTTGAAATACATCCACAGGTACACCTCCAATTGACTCAAATGATGTCAATTAGCCTATCAGAAGCATCTAAATCCATGATATAATGTTCTGGAATTTCCAAGCTATTTAAAGGCACAGTCAACTTAGTGTATGTAAACTTCTGACCCAGTGGAATTGTGATACAGTGAATTATAAGTTAAATAATCTGTAAACAATTGTTGGAAAAAGTACTTGTGTCATGCAGAAAGTAGATGTCCTAACCGACTTGCCAAAACTATAGTTTGTTAACAAGAAATTTGTGGAGTGGTTGAAAAACAAGTTTTAATGACTCCAACCTAAGTGTATGTAAACTTCCCACTTCAACTGTACATGTCAACAGTGTTTTAGTGTAAAGGTATGTGATAGAGTTGTTGTTACATGTGCATGACACTGTTTTGGAGATGTTTGACAACATGTAGAATTGGAATATAAGTAGCTGGCACACCATATACGGGTGGGAGTGGTGTTTTGCATTGCAGAGCAAGTTCTCTGTCTTCTCCAGTTTTCCATTAGTCCATAGATCTCCCAACTTAATTGGATTCCCATGGCTGTATATGCTTATTTTCTATCAGAATCCAGAAGGAGCTTTATCAAAACAAAGCCGCTGGTCGCTAAAAATACACAAAAAATAAACAAAATGGCAACTCCCACAGTCCATACAGGATGAAGTGGCGGAAATTAAGAGGAGATATTTTGTCACAGCAGGAAAGGAGAAGAACGTATCCACAGATGGTGTCTGTCAAAACTCAGGATGAACTTTACCTGTGTTTGTTTTCCTTACTGAAAGTGTTGCAAGAAGACAAAGCTCTTTGAAAAACTTGATACTAAGTGCGCAAATGTGAGGAATTGTACTCCAATATAGTCCGAGTTGGCATGTCAGCATCAATAAGGTCAAAAAGGTACTGGACTTTAGAAGTCCCTTTGTAGCAGGGTTATATAACCTACCAATGGATCCATTTCAAACAGCCAGATATGTCCAAACTGAGAAGCAACCGCTGTTCCTTTATTTAGACTACTCCTTTAGTTTCTAACAACCAGATACTTTATATGTACTTCCTCATGGAAGATGTACTTTTGGTCAACTCTGATTCAAGTGCTCTGTGAGTGGTTATAGAACCTAATGGTTTAAACCCCAGTGTTCTACCCCAGCACAATTCCAGTAGAAACTCCGCTCGCAGTGCAGTGAGTTCTATTTGAAATCTTCAAAAGATGGCTTATCTCTGAAGTTTGTGTGATTTTAAAAAAGAGGGAGATGATGAGCCGACCACTCAGATACATAACAGCCAGACTGTTATTGTGGGACAGGTTCGTTGCGATTTGGAATTGGAAAAGGAATTGGTCTGGAAGGAAATATACAGTGCATTCAGAAAGTATTAAGATCCGTTTACTTTTTCCACATTTTGTTACTTTACAGCCTTATTCTAAAATTGATAAAATTGTTTTTTCCCCTCATCAATCTACACACAGTATCCCATAATGACAAAGCAAAAACAGGGTTTTAGAAAATGTTGCTAAT